ACCAGCCACCTCGTATGCCTTCTTCTGCTCGATAGTCTCGTAGTTCAGCGCTTCAAAGAAGATATCCAGCACGAGGATGTTTTCCCTGTGCAGGACATAAGCAGTGTCAGACTGAGATTTGGGATGGAGGGACAAAAGATGCCGCCCCATCTCTGTGGATGCAGCACGTTACCCGATGTACTGCTCCGACTTGTTGTACTTCTTGGCCAGGTACTTGGCAGAGGCTTTACTGGGGATCTTCACCATGGAGAGCTCTTTGCCGTAGCGGGTCACGTTGCAGGGCATCTCACAGACGCAGTACTCATTGTCCTTCTCCACCAGGAAATCTGGGCAGGGACAGAGGGAGATGGAGAGATGGAGAAACCCAACACACCCCGCTCGGCCCCGCAGCGCTGCGCAGCCTCACCTAAGGCCGGGTCCGCGCACTCCTTGTACTGCTCCGGGGTGCAGTAAGGGGCATCGCCTGGGGGAGAGAGAAAGCAGGTTTTCCTGGTGGGACCACGTCAGCGGGATGAGCCCGCGGGAGCGGGTGCTGCCGGGCACAGGGCTCACCTGGCATGTGCACCATGCGGCAGTTGCAGTTCTCCACCAGGTAACGGGTCTCGCAGTCGATGCGGCAGGCGGTGATGCTGTAGTTGTCATAAAACTCCGAGTCGCCCGCCACGGCCTTGCAGTCGCCCCAGGGAGGTGGCAGGTAGATGAGCTGGGAGGGGGCAGAAGCCAGGAGTGAGGAGAGAAGCCCACTGGCCCCCCGGATGGAGCTCTACAGCAGAGACCCTTGCTTGTAGGGGTCCATCTGACATAGGAGCAGGCAACAGGGGCACAGGGAGGAGGCTCAGTGCTCCACGGCAGGTCTAGCTCACAGTGCAGGGGAAGGGGGAGCATCCCAGACCCCCCCAGTCCCTACCCTCTGCTCCTGGCAGGACACGAAGGTCTGGAAGCCGGGAGCCACCCCAAAGCCCAGCTGGTCGATCAGTGGGGGCTCATCCTGGCTGTGGATCTGCACCTTGATTCCGGCTTCGAATGAGGTCTCATCTGTGGCAGAGAGAAGTGGGGTGAGCATGGTGCTGTACCCTGCTCTGCAGGGCTGTGCTGCATGTCCATCCATCCATCCATCCATCCATGCATGCATCCATCCATCCATCCATCCATCCGTCTCTTTGCTACACCATGTCCTTGACCCCTCTGCCTCTGACCCTCCTGCTCCAGCACCCGGGAGTGTGGCAGGGAAAGTGTTTGCCTCTATTTATAAACAAGAGATGGCTGCTTGTCTAAACTGATGGGGAGTTGCCATGGCAAAGAGCAAAGATAAGGAGGAAAAAGGGAAGAAAAGGACCCAAAGTGATGAGAAATGGAAGGAAGGAAGGAAGAGGAAGGAGACTGGGGGACATGGAAGGGGCTGGGAAGCACCCTGGGAGGTGCTGGTGACCGAGCAGACCTGCTGGCAGAACCAGGGGCAGGGGGTTACCTGTCTCCCCCCACACCGGCAGG